GTTTAACCTTGACTCACGTTTCAAAAGTCTACGTGATAAGGCTACGGTCCATTACATTACTTCAAAATCTTCCAAAGTAGTAATTATAACCTTCGAAATCAGGCAAATCAAAGTCAACTTTATTTGTCACGCCACAGGCGAGCCTCTAAAATAGGTCCATGATAAATACCCGGTCAAATTAGACTCTTACTCAGCTAAGATCTTCCCTAGGATACTTTATGGACTGATTCGTAGTTTCCATACTTCCTCAACGCAGCCTACCTAAGTCAGGCTACATTTAACGATGGGCCATCAAACATCTAATCGTGTGAATAAATGACAGGTTGGCGCCTAGCGGCTAACTCGTTAACTACAAATATTTGACCTCATATCCTATGTAACCCAAATTCTATATTTTGCTGTCCCAAAATGCATCTCTTGAGTCTCCTCAACATTTTGTTCAACTATTGGTGGTACTACAGGTTATGAATCTCGGGAATACCCTGCACCACAACTCATCAATCATTCATGCAACTAGAGGCTAGTAGGGTAGAAGATCAGTAGCCCAAAGAAACTGTCCACATGAACCAATATCAGTCGTAGTATTGTGGGCCTCTTCTCTTTTTTAATCACCATCGTCTTTCAATTTTTATCATATATGTAACTGTCAACCGTATTTTTTCAGATTCTCAGCCATTGCCTTGAAAGTATTGGATTGAACCATTTCACTAGGTTTTCATTTCTTTTCTCTCATTTTTTCTCCTAAGCAAATATTTTTTTAAGATTACGAAGTTTGTAATTTAGACAATAACTTGTGTTACACTTAAATTAACTTCCCAGACTCGGTTTATCTTTACTATGCATACATGACTCGTACATCCTTCTCGTTTATTGGAGACTTTAATAGCATCACTTCAAACTATGACTGCACAAACATTTATTCTAGCGTCGGATCTTAATGCAATAATAAGTTATTTTTTCTTAGCAATTTTCTACTTTATTTTGGCTACTAATTTGATGATACATATATAGTTGTTTATTCTTGTTTTGTGTTCATAAACACGCTTATTGAACTATTTGCGTATTTCACGTCTCCTTTATTTCCATTCCCATATTCTCTCCCTTTCCTTTTTTAAAGTAAACTCAATATTTTTCTCAATTACGCAGAACGTGATTTATTGTTGCTCCGTTACCATTACTATTATTTTCTCTCTTTTTAAAATATGGCAAATATGTTAACATTATTGAAACTTATGTGTTATTGAACTTTTGAAGAAACTCGAAATGGTTTATTCACAACACTTATGTACCCATAAGATGATTGTGAGTAATTATAATAATTGTCTTGCCTACTGGTTTATTTCTACTAACTTATTTTGTTTGGAAACCCATAATCTATCTCATGCTCCTATGCGATACCGTTTCGATATCCCATCAACTCTATAAGTTTTAATTGTCTGATATGCCTATACCGGATATTTGTAAAATTTATTTATTTTAACAAGGTGTGGAGCATAGAGCATGGAGGTAAGACATAACTGCAGTCTAACCATCACTTTAATACAGTATGATGTCAAAACAGAAGGGAGGGTGGAGTTATTGACTAGCAAGCATGTATGGTGAAAGCCATCACTTCGATTCACCCATGTTTGGGTGCATGATACTTTGACTGTCTCAGGCTCTTCATGATTAGTAATAAGGTAACTAATCAATGATACTAAGGTTATCTTATCATGTTCGCTGATTCTTCGACTAGTTTTTGTTCCGTCATTCTACGAAGTCGTCCAATTACATGCATTTTCAGACGCTTAGGTGCAGACATAACGATCGGCATTTAGTTACAACAATAAAAAGAGCGATATTTAAACCGACTTATATATCTGCATGAATAATCTATCACATATCCTTTCTGATTTTATCTGTTGAACACATCTATCTGGTTGGTGTCTTTTTAATAAATATATCTTGTAAATTATCGTTCATGCCTGTAAAATGGCATTTAATTGCTTTACGAAAAATATTTTGTTGTTGTTGTATGATATCGAACCCGCTTCCAGCTACCTTAAGTTTATTGATGAGTAATCCACCCCGTTCCTATGTTTCGACTGCAAACGTATATGTTCTAAGGTAGTGTGTTTCAAGTATCATCAAATCAAAGTCTGTCGCATTAGACGCCTGAGGGGATCGTCTGTTGAGTAGAAAATCTGGCGCCAAAGTATTTTACCTCATTTCGGATTTATCCTGTGAGTATAGTATAAGAAACCGCATTTGTTCCAACTGAAAAGTTCATCCCGAAATGTTTGCTTCTAACAAAACAACTGATTGTTCAGGCACTCTGCCCCACTAGTCGTGATCTGTGATGGGTTTTCGCATTTGTCATACTCTGGGATGTCGATTTTGGTTCGACGCATGGCTGATTTAACATGTTTGATCTAGCATCAAAAATCTCGCAGTACCAGAAAAACTGCCCGGTGTCCAAACTATCATGATTTGCTCTATCGTCGTGATCTACGTCGCTCCTACATTGCTCTTTCTGTTGTCTATCCAGCAACAATCTAAGACTTTGATGCTCAAGACTCTCTCTGCTGTGTCTTAGCCTCCCAGTTGTCTTATATCTTGTGCATGATGTAGTATAAGCGATTAAGTAAGAGGTTTTATTCCCACTGAATTGTCCGAAATACGTACCATATGGAGTAAAAATGCTTATAGGCCTTTTGCATTCGAACAGTGTTGAACATAGAATTAGACAGCTTGAGTCGACCCTTGCTTTAGGACTGTTCATTCGATGATGTTTATGCTGATCAAAACTTGAGTTTGTTGTAAGGATTAAGAGGGTAGCCGGCAGTCCGATTTTTGTCCCCTCCGATTATCTGACAGAGGTGAGTGATTCATTGTTTCCTTCTGCTTCGTAAGTATTATTCTGAATTTAGGCTAACATGCCATCGCACTTCATTCTCAAGATCCTATTTGTATTTTTGTACTGACATGATTATGTAAAGCTCCCACGCATACATTCTTAGTGACAACACCTGTTTATTTATTTATCCACGAAGCGTGGCTTCCATTGAAATCTGAATTTACATGTACTAAGTTTATCTTCTAGTTTGTTTGTAATTATTATCATATACGACTTTCAAATTCAGAATCGCTATGAACTGATCTATGTCGTTGGGGATTTTAAAAACTATTTTTGCATTAGTTTTAACCAAAATTGTATTCTGGTTGCTGCTACTCTGGGTGACTGTATTCTTGATTGCTCTTGGGGAGTAGAAACTTAATTCGTTATTGTCGTCAATGGGTGGTTATAATTGATTATGACAGAAACAATGCTCTTAAACCCCTAGTAAGTCTTATTTGACAATACTATCATTCTCATTTTCTCTCACTCTGTCTAATACTTGAACGTCCACCCACAGCAACTGCGTCTGTCTTATGTACATTGGCAATCTTCTTCACCTCGGCTGTAATGTTTGAGGTATTTTATGCTTTTGATGTGATTTGTTTTCGCCATGGAATCAGAACCGATCAAATGAAGCACAGAGGTGATTTAGTGTGAGCGGTTTTAAAAGGCTTTGAGTGATATACGGAAGAACGTAGTTAGTTGGTTCTCTATGTCCAGACCAGTCATCACAGTGGTTATTATATGGAATTATGATCTAAATCGGTATTAGTACATTTATCTTTGTTAAAATCGTGATAGACCAAGTCCCAAAATTGTAGATTAGTCGTGAAAAGACTACCTAATATATAAAATCCCACGTGGGAGTCACATCATTGTTTATTCTGACTCGTCATATCGTGACTATCAGCAGTGCAATGTTAAGCACTTCTGAAGAACACATTTGGATTAAAGAATAATATATTTTAATGTGAGTAGAGATTTGTTACGAGGATGACTACACCCGCAAAGCTGAGCCATGCCATACCGACCAATTCTTCCCACAGTCATCATTCTTGATCCTCTATCATTGTTACGCGTTGAAAGTAAATCTCCCTAGCAATTGTACGTTCAGCTTCAAAGATTGTGTGATAAGGGACCAATGCAATTACGGTTTCATTGCCTAAGCGATGGTTGTCTAGAAGATTGGCCACTCAGGTGTACGAACGTATGGCTTGCAAACAACACATTTAAACTTGGATCGTACTTCTACTTTGAAGAGTGTAGTGAGCACGTTATTTGGGTTTTTAATACCAATGACTCTTTCAGGCTTTTGACCATAATCGAACTTGAAGGTTAATTTAACAATTGTGTATACTCATCAGCCATTAATCTCTATCATCTTGCGTTTAACTGAATGGTGTATTTGCGTGTCATAGGTAAAACTACATTTAATATCTACAATCAAATGGATTTTAAATTAGTAGACAAGTTCTCATGCTCGTAAAGACGTCACGGAAACAGTGGTTTTAACGTCACCGTCCGAATCCTCTCCCTATACAAGGATACCAAAGGTAATCAAAGTCGAGAACGAAGGTATGCAAAGGTATGTTTGAATAGTGATTGATGGGTTGAAGTGAATAAAATCTAGGCTGGATTATCGTCGTCATAGACGTGCAGCGAAGTGTGCCCAAACATAATCTGGCGAAGATGCATGACCGAGTGTCCCCAGCCAGAGGTGTGTCTAGCAAAAATAATGAGATGAAAATCAAAACCGAAGGCCGATAAAGCCGTTTGTTTGATGGATTTATTTATCTTTAAACACCTTTAGCTTTTTAACACACTTCTCAAAGTGGATTCTATTTCAACGTGTAACTCGCATTTTATTTGCTTAATTAATCTGCCAACTTGAAATGAGCTGCAGTTCCTGTTCGTAGAAAATTTATATCCCGATAGCCTTAAGAGATTGAAAGAGTCTGCAATATGGATCAAATTTTCGTATGCAGTGTTGACTCACCGAATGAATCGAAGAATGCACGAAAATATTTGATATTTCATTTTTGTTGAACATTGAAAATTTATTTTCACTGTCAGAGTATGTTTACTTGTTTAGTTGTTTTGTTAGACAGAAGTCAGGCGTTCCATTTATTGACTTACAAATTGCGGCAGGTTTGAAGTCTTACTCGTTTCGTCTGTCTGACTTTTATTTTCACACACGTGTTGCTGATAATTGGTATTGATTGCTCTTCTTGTTAAAAGTAAGTACATTTTTTACTGTTACTGAGTTGTCGCCTGACCTTTGCCTTTGTTCTTCCCCAGCTCCCCTTACACTGCTCTACGCGCTGTGTTAACGCCGATGTTTATTTTTCCGAGCACTTCGTATTGTCAGTACTACAAGGGAAATAAAGTTACACAATGTTGCGTAAGACATTGGGACTGTATATTTTTGTAGTACTTGATAACTTGCTGTATCAAGCATTTTATTTCATCCATTTATCAATTTTTGGATACCGATAGTGTAGTCTATTGACGAGTTTAAATAAACACTTTCCAATTCTGTCAAAATCAACCCAATATTAACTATCACGCCGAGCATATAGGTTGGTTCTCAGCCATCCAAATAAGTCTCAGAAGTGAAATCGAAATGACCGTTAACTTTGTTAGACGCGGGTAGTTCCAAAGAAATCTTACCAACAGTCTTACTTCATCAACGCGTAGTACACTTGGATAAATATTGTTGCTATCCGAAAGATAGAATCATGACAATTTATGATTATTAGAAGCCTACTGTGTGTTCACTTGTGGAAGTGACACGACGACCTTTTACATAGCCAAAAAGGGTATTCGGAGAGCTATCCCAAAGACTGGATATGAACAGTTTCTGGTTACATTTGCCTCCATAGTTACCAAGGTGCATCATTGTCATTATTTCTGGGGACAACTCTTATCAACCCATAATTGTAAAGTCTCAGAAGATCTTTACTGAAATCACATCTGGTTAACTCGGATCTAAGAATCAGTTTGTCCCCAACCTTTGCCTCATTTTGAACCTGGAGATCCCGAACTATGTATGTGATCATGGCATCACTGCGTGGGTATGTGTACGTGGTCCTTTCAGAGTCGGGAATTACATGTCATTATCATTAAATAATTATAGTTCAAACGATTCGTTAAGGATAAACCTATCCTATAATCGGTCGTAGTATGCCCCTGAAGTATCGAGTTCCTGTGTGTGGGCGTTGAGTTATTAGTATAATTAATTAAGGTTATTTGTACAACAATCTGGTACAATTACTGCTGTACACTCAGAAAAACTAGCAATTTCAAGTTGATGTAGTTTCCCAACATAGTCCATTTCTTCAAAGTGCTCCGACGACGCGATGGGTTAGAGTACTGTTTTCTCTCAGATTCGACTTCAAGCATATTAAGTATCTCTTATCACACAGCCAGCAGTCCTCTGCATCGGTCAGTTCAGTAAGGCTTATATAACCTGTTTAGATGGTAGTAGTTTAAGTTTAACCATCTCGGGCTGTTGTTTCATTTTGCTGAGAAAACACTAAGTTTGACCCTTAAGGTTACCGTTTTAAGCGGAAAGCACTTTTCGATTTTAGTAGGCTGTTCACTGCATTCTTCACAAAATATCTACATTTAGTCTCCTATGTATTTCAGACTGAAGCGGCCACAACATGAGATGAGACCAAACTATGAAGTCGATAACTGCTAGTCTAGGTCATATTGATGAATACAGGCCACCTGGTCAGGATCTGTTACATAGATGTGACCATTGGTTGTAGAGCGATATAAGTCAAAACCGTTCATAGTGGCGCGAACTCATAAATACTTTACCTGCCCATCGGTTCCGAATTCCAGCATTACTTCACACATGCCTTTCTAGTCTGCCTTTCCAAATCATGTCCTCAATATCCAACCGTTCTCTTTATCACTTAATTAAGTCTGTTACCCCTATTGAGGGATAGACCACCGAGCAGCAATCTTCAGTCACCCTGTCTGAGGCTCTGCTTTTCAGTCGTTGCTGAGTGTTATTCCTGATTTTGGTTTCTGCTTCCGATTTCCGGCACCATATGTCCCTCGGCACGTCCCATTTCCTTTTTTCTTTAAGGATTCCATGTTGGGACTTGGTTTTTGATGCAGTTTAATTATTTCTGCAGTGTCCTATCCATTACTAGCGTCTTCTAATTTCCTCTCTAGCATGGAGCAGGTTCGTTCACTAGTAGAATGGGCTATTGCTGATGGTCTCTGGCCTATGGATTTGGGGTATCTCACGCAGCCAATTGTTTGTGAATACCTTTGCTCTTTTGGTGATGGTGGTGACAATTGTCCAAGTTTCAGCTCCATACAATAGAATTGTTTTAACGTTAGTGTTGAAGATTCTTACTTTGGTAGTGGGTGTCGGTTGCTTTGAGTTTCAGATATTGTTCAGTTGTAGGAGTGTTGCCTTTGCAGTACAGACTCGTACGTTTGCATCTGCATCAGATCCTCCTAGTTTATCGACGATGCTGCTCAGGTACGTTAAGGCTCCCACCTCTTCGGAAGCTTTGCCAGTAAGTGTGATTTGCCTGGTTCTCAATGTGTTGTGCTTCAAAAGCTTGTTGTTTCCTCTGTGTTGGGGCATGCTACTGTGAAAGCTGTTGGTACAATGTCTGTCTTTGCATTTGTTGTTGTGTTTGCGACTGCAGGACCAAGTCATTTACAAGATCGGTCACTCAGCTGCGTTCAATGTGTCCGCTGGATTTCGTGTTTTTCTTGAGATGCGGTCTTCATAATCCAGTGAACAACCAGAAGAAAGAGAAAATACGTGATTCGAAAGGTTTGTCTAATTCGAGTTTTTATCTGTAGTTGATCTGTCATCTGCTCACCATGCACGACTTTGTAGTTCAGTCCGGTTTTGGGGCACCATGTAATGGTGAGGATTTTCCTAGGTACTCCTTAGTATCGATGGAGAATTTACAAGTTCCTATTATTCATACTGTCGAATGGCTTCTCCTAATCACGGAAGTTGATGTATAAAGATGAGTTCCATTCAATTGATTGCTGGACGGTCGTCCGCGTTTTTGCGAGTTGGTCGGTATACTATCGACCCTTATGGAGATCTCTAAGTTTAGAATCTACTGAGTCCTTCGTTCGCTTTACCAACATCCTGTTAAAAAGTTCTCCTGGTAAGGACAGTAACGTGTTCCGCCCGTAGTTCTCCTTCAGCTCGTTGATGACGTATCCCTCTCCGGTCTGCTAGTACTTGTTCTTCATCCCGAATCTTTCTGAAGAGAATGTGGGACATGTTTTCAGCTGCCTCCATATCTGATTAAAGTGCCTCAAATGGTGTACTGTTTAGTTCAACTATTGTTATGGCATTCCTGAATTGTCTAATGGCTTTGCTAATTCCTTTGATTGTTGGTGGGGTACCGTTTACAGGAGATATTTATGTGTTGCCTCGATGTTGGCTGTGCCCAGCGGTGCTGGTCCCTTCAGAAGATCTTCAAAGTGCTCTGCCCACCTGTCCCACTGCCGTTGACCCTCAGTGACTGGTTTCCCTTCCTTATTCTTGATTGGTCACTCTAGTCTACTATGTTTTCGTGCAAGCTGCTTGGTTGTAGTGTCACATAGTTCTCTCATATTTCCTTCTCTTGTAGCCTTCTCTGCTATAGTTGCCAGACCTTCTACATGCTTCCGCTAATCAGCTCTAATGCTCTTTCACTGGTATGTTTGCTTCTGTGTACTCGGCCTGTGCCTTGGTTTATTATGCTTTTGTTTAGCTGTTGTTGATTGCTGTTTTGTTTCTCCTTTGGCGTATCCTGCTCAGATTGTCTACGGAAATCTACTTTTCATACTGATGCTTCTTGTGGGTCAACACTTTCTGAGATGTTGAAATTATTACCTCTCGAATCACTTTCCAGTCGTTTCTTATCGTGGTTTCTGTTTCTTCTAGTACATCTTGAAAGGCTTGACGCTTGTTTCTGACAGTTACTATGTTGATCTCTCTGAACTTGTTTGCGTCTCAAAGGAAGGCTATACTAGACGTTTGTAGTATTCCTTATGTAACTGCACAACGCTTCTTTCGATTTGGTACCACCAGCTGGTGATCTGGAACTACATCAACTCTCTTTGTTCTTATTTCTTCCGTGGACCTCGCGGATTTTTTGTTGAGACAAATGTGATCGATCTGGTTTTTCGTGGTGTTGTCCGGTTAGCTTCAGGTACGCATCTGTGGGGGAAAACGCCACCATCTATGACTATGTTAAAAGCATGCAGATCTATCGGTCTCTTGTCATATTCGTTCCTTCCTCCTAGTCCATTTCGTCTCATAATGCGTTCGTATTTGGTGTTGTTCACTCCGACCTTGGTGTTTGGGTCCCTCATCAGGATGGTCAGGTGTTTCCCCAAACCTTTCCCTACGATGGTCTGCAGCCTCATGAGAATGGTGTTTAGCATGTTCGCTGCTATCGTTGGTGGGTGCATAGCACAGGATCACATTCATCGTAACCTTCCCTTATTTGTTTCGGGAGATGCTGTGATGGTCTCGAAACTCTGAGTCTCCCATCCTAGATTTGTTCATTCTATTCTTCTCTTGACAGTATTAGTAAAATTCCTTGTGTTTGTTTTTGTGTGTGTGTGTGTGTGTGTGTGTGTGTGTGGGAGGGCACTTTCTTTATGACTAGACTTCGGTGACAGCTTTTCTCAGGTTAGTGTTTTTTTTCGGATTAAATGCAATGAGTTGCTCTTTTTCTAATGCCGGTCAGCTTGTGTTTGTGCTATTCTGTGTTTTTTCAATTTGTACTTGTGGTCTCGTATATTGTTCGGATATTCGGCGTACCCATGTTTACCGTTACCCTGTTTGTCGGAGGGATTATCAGCCTCGTGACTTCTGAGGAATCTTGGCTTTCACCCTGAGACATTATAAGTGATGTATATGAAGACTCTCAAACTGTGAGGCCAGAGTTTGGATGAGTTTTCCTAGTTAGTGTTTAGTTAGTGGTGTTGTTTCTTAGGTGATGGAGCTTGTGACAACGGACAGTAGCCCAGGAATGTTTCTAATCTGAGTACATGACATACTTCTACATAATTGAGTTTGCGTTTGCTTTACAACTCTTTAGGTAACACTTACTCATTTTCTGTTGGTTCGTAGATTTTGTTGTTGAATTGAAAATATGTTGTTAAGCATAAATCGATGAGTCCTACCAGAACATTTACTCATGTTAAAAAATTGTACATAAGTGTTGATAACGCTTTTCTCATTAACTGTAAGCACAGCTTGAAATAAACCATAAAGAGTGCACTAAGTTTTTACAATTAGTCATTTCCAAATTGGAACGTCGTTCCAGTGGTTAAAACATCCTGTTTTGATCCAATAAATTGTGGGCTTTGAAAGCTACAACTACTTCGGTTTGACCTAAACAGCATTCAGTTCTTAACCAATAAGGTAAAGTTTGCCAACCTGTTCCGCCAACTTTAGTTTAAGCATTTAGGTGGTATCACCAATTCTCACCCAGACACTGCTCTGAAGCCACACGCTCAGCGAACAAGTTACTTCGATTTGATCAGAATGCACATCAGACTTTATTTGTAAGCTTTGTTGGTAAGCTACATTAAGTTTCCTTCCAAAGTTGCCTATTGTTGCTTTATCTATTATATAGAGTAATTTACTATTTTTCAGTTTCAGCATTAAAATATGCCACTTCCTAAACATACAGTTCAACCGGTCAAACTCAGTCAGGTAATTGTCCCGAATGGCATCGACAATGAGTTGGAATTTGTGGTTAATTCCACGGTCTGCAATGTCATGAGACAGATAGCATCAGTTAGCCGATTGGCCAACACCATGTTCGAAGAACTCACTACCGATTTTTCTCGACTAGTTGAGCGGACTGTTCGTCTGCAAAATCGTCTGGGAAAACTTCATGAAGATATGCAAATGGCGCGCAGCGGTGACGAAGACCTTACTGCTGGAGTACAAGAAGTTGAGATTCCGGTGTTCTCTAGCAAAAAACCAACTGATAGCCAGGTAAATTGTTCAACCTTTTCATTTTAGTTAGGTATTAAATCAAAATACCATACCTCCTTCTATGCGGTCACAATATGATCAAGCAGAAGCAGCTCCAGCACTTCAACAAATGGATGAACTCAGAGATGATAAGAAAACTAGCATGAGGTTGTATTCAGATCCCAGCTTTTTCTTTGATCTATGGAGTCAGGAAATGTTACAAGATCGCAAACATAAAAGAGCCGCCAAGAAAAAAGTAATTTTTGCTGACCCATTAATCGGTTATTTTCTTATCTCTTCTATTTGCAACCTATATTTGTAGCTGTATTCGTTGTTGTTTTATCTAGACCATCTTAACATTTATAAATTATTTCCTTCTTTAAATGACAAAGTTATTAGTACTTACCTGATGTTCTTTTTGTGGTTTCAATAATAAACGTGCTCTTGCTTTGTGATTACATGGATTTCGTAATTGAAGTATAAATTAGTCTCAGTTCTTAAATCATCTGGTGACTTTTTTGAAAATTGGAGTGATGCAATTAGTATCATATGTTTCGGTCCTAAACCCTTCCACTTTATGATGCTAGTGAATTCTACAGTTTCGTTTGACGCTTTTAATCATGTCGCTACAACTAAACGTTTTGATCAAGTTTTGTATTTATATCCAACTACATATTCGTCTATTGAATTGTAGGATTCTTGTTTAGTTGTATTTTCTTTTTTTGCTCTTCTGTCAGGCGGTGAAAATTGATCGTCTCATTTATTTCATACCCATATCTATGTTACAAGGTCGCGTTCCCCTTCAACGTCTGTCTTGCCACAGTTCTCTTAGTTCTCTTGACTTTTAATGTCACCGAACGCTTTCTGCGAACAAATGCTACAATTAGCACTGAGATTGATCCATAGCATATTCTTCCTTACTCATTGACACAACCGTTTTTAATCATAAAAAAGTAAGTGTTTTGTTGGGATTCTCGATGCAGTTTTAAAAGCGATGATACTAAGTTTCTCGACTCACTTTCTTGCTGTCACTTGAAAATGTATGTTTGCATAGTCAGAAGACCATTTATCACAACCAACTTACAGTAATATAATTCATTCTAATTCACAAGCCTGGATTTGTGTTGCATTCATTTACGATCTTTTTTTTCTGTGTCTGTGCTTAGATAAAAATAGGAGACTGTAAGAAAGTAAAGCGATTCATGGATATAATTTTGTTCCAGTTTTAGTAATATTTTATACAACCAAATATCCTAATCTTTGAAGCTTGTAACCTGTTTTGGGTAAAATACCTATTTTAGAGACCAAAAGGAAAGGGAAAAGCTGCTCCACTTAAAAGTGGATCTAATCAGGGAGCTCAGAAACCTCAACTTATCATTCAGCAACCAGGAGTTGGTGGCCATAAACTTTCCGCACCGTTACTCGAACAAAACGGTTCTGTTAATGCCAGTTCTCATATGGATAGGAATGTCAATATTGTCAACGGTAAACCCACCCAGCATCAGTTTCTAAATAATGGGAATTTCGGAAATCCTTCATTACCACCTCCGCCACCTCCACCAAATGCTCTTCATTCGTCAACACAAGTTGATAATGTACAGGATTTTCGACACGCATCTAATCAAAAGAGTGGTTATTGCCCAACTAAACCTGACCTTGGTGGTGTTAATCAGTTTCCTTCAGTTACCAACAACATTTGTAGCAACCAAGACCCTTCACCAGCCCATCAGATGACTCTTCCTGACCCTCCCGCACTCCATACACAGATGGCATCTCTTATTTTACCACCATCACTTCCCCCGGCGTTCTTGAGCGACGGAGAGTTAAAAGTCTCAGGTTAGTTTAAACCGTTTTATATGTGTGTTATTATTCACAATCTGATACATCGTTTGGATGTTACGTGATAGTTTCAATTTAGTATATATAGTATCGGTCTCTTACATATACAATTGAATTCGTTCACCCTCTACATCTTTAGCCTAGTATCATCCCATAATTTTCATCTCAGTTGCGTTTTTCAAACTACTTTCCTTATTAATGATTTTGTAGGTATCGTTACCAAGGTCAGAATTTTCCTACTCATTGAGATATTACAAATATATTATTTATTTATACTTTCCTTATGTTTATTTCACCGTTATAGTAGGTATTATTATTATTCGTTTTCTTAGCTTTTGGTTGTGCTTATTTCCTTGTTTCATGTAACACCTGAAAACTAGTTTAGTAATTAGTTATATCATATCAAAAGATGCACCGGTGTGGTGGTTATTCTATGTTCACAGGATTCATATTTTTCTCTGGCATTCGTTCTGAAGAGAAAAGATCTGCAAATATTAACACTACTGAACGTCCAACCTTACTCCATAGATTTTTGGATTTGTTGGCAAGATCTTCAAGAGAAGCTGTTAGAATATTTTGACAAGCTTCGAGAATGTATCTTCATAGTCATTGACTATGGACACCATTTCCATTTCATACGCTTTCCGTTTGCTTATCTCCTTTCATAATGCTGGTGTTTTGTGGCGTGGACTGGTACACAGTTATCCCGGATCCTGAATTATACTTTATATATATATATAATTTTTCACAGCATGTCTTCGTGAATTCCGTTTCTATTTGTTTGCATATATCTGATTCGTTCATCTTTCCAAGTATTTTATTTACGTTTGTGTTGTGCTTTTTATGTTAATTTGGGTATTTCTAGTTTTTATTTAACTTTTTAGACATGAGCGAAAATTCACATCCAAATGATGAAGCTGCTAGCAGAGACCTAACTGGAAAAGATGGAGATGATAGGATATCATCACCCACACAAATACATGATGGCAAAGAGAAACAGTCTCAGTATATTAATTCTGTAGGTATGGAATCGGTAAGTTTTTTGACCTTTTGGCTGTTTCTTCCATGAGCTTAAAGTTAAAATGCTGCAGTCATTTTTTACTGCGATTAGAGTTAATTCATGTTATACATGCATCAGGCCCCCACATAGATTAATAGTTATTTAATGTGAATGGAAGGTGAATCCATCAATTAACTCTTGTTTTGTTTTCTTGTGTGATGACTGTAATACTTACTTTATCGCGTTTGTGAACTAATGTAATCGTAAAGTAGTTATTAAGTACATTAAACATATGATCAATTGATTTGAATTTTGTAGTTCATATATATATATATATATATATATATATAATTAAAAGCTGGCTCGTTTTTAGTTCTATAGATTTACTTAGTCTGTTGCTAACTTGGCTTTGTTCCTACTCCGAATAATTCTCCCATTTTTACATTCATGTTTCAGTCATCATCGGCACCACACAATCTTCCTCCACCTCCTCCCGCGCCGATTTTCGAGTCGAAGAACTTCAATGAGCCTTGTAAACCCAACAGACAACCAAGCGAGTCGGATACTTGTGATCATATATCCGCTTCTTCGACCCTTCCTCCCCCACTGACACCTTTTGTTTCGCCACCTCAAACATCTATTCTATGCTCATCTACACAACCTCCACCATCCCCACCTCCACCTCCCTTCATACCAAACCAGAAAGTTGGGTCTGAAAGTCCAAGCAATCAAACAGCTTTACCAACTAAGAACACTATCCCACGATGCAGTGTACCTCAGTGTCCTCCTGCAGATTTGCTTTCTGCTATACGCGCTGGCTGTCAGTTACGCAAAGTGGGTGAACGAAATCTTCCCGATCAATCAAAATTTAGCCCTGCAAATAGTTTATCAACTCTGGTAAACAAACCTAAGGATGTTCAAGTTAGTTTCACTGACCTTAAGTTTCTTAAACTTTGTTTGTATGTATTTACATTTAAATGTACTACATCCCGTCGTTTAAGGGAATTGTTACATTTCAATAGTCAAGGTGACTAATGCCTCTTGCTCATTCAAGTTACCAAAGTTTGTCTTTTAAAAGCTCATTGTAAACACAGTGCTTGTATTGATCAATTTAGTATAGAATCATAAATTAATATTTCTTCATCGCAGTAATCTCGATCACGGCAATTCTGTAGTCTCCTCAACTATGTTATTACAAAAATTTTCTTGTCGAGTGTCATGAGATAACGTACTAAATGAGAAAACAAACCAGAGATGTTTAGGATCTTTCCAGATGGAAGCATGAACGGAAGATGACAGTGTCCACTTTTGGTGCAAAAATGAGAAATCCAAATTTCTACGGTTAAATTACAAAAATAAGTTTGCCAAGTGATTTCTGGTGATCTAGCTGCCTGTTGTGGAATCTAGATTCCCCAAAACCACTTAGAATTTACCGTTGATCCCCTTAAAATGAGGTCATTTGGAAGCACTAATGACATGTCTTTCTATCTACACAATGGTACAGACGAATTGTCAACATAAAGCCCTAGATTTCTAACACAACTCTGTTCCAGCCTTCTAGTTTATTCGTTTACATGTATCTGCCAAAGCAGTTATATTGGTAAAACAGAAAGGAGAGCCTACGTCTGATTCAAAGAACATATTCCGAAAAGTTTAAGATTAAATGGATTGAACGCATTCAACAGTGCTATCGCAAGACATCTCCTTGATACAGGACATGAAGTCGATATACTGAAGTCCTTCAAGGTGATTAACAAACAATCAAACTCCAACCTTTTGATTGATTTCGATTCATATTTTCTTCATTACCATTAATCTATTTTCATGAGTTCCAATCACTATTTCAATGCTCTGGAACTTTCCCTCTCTAACTTTATTTATTTATTCGAATTAAACATTTTATGAGCTCATTAACCCTATCTGAATCTTCGCTACATCATCATACACATGTATTGATCCTTAATCACACTCTTATCTATAAATATGTCAATATCTGTAATAATTTGAATTTCAAATAATTTAGGTTGTAAGCAGCTGATGAAAACCTAACGAAGTAAAATGAATTAATATTATTCTGCACCAATCTTTGATCTTGCTCTCTTTAAGATAATAAAGGGAACTATGTGTATGAAATTATTCGTTTAGATTCTTTTTCCCTTCAAAGTAATTAGCCTTTTTTGTACCCTTCGTTTTAGTGATTAATGTAGTTTGTACCTTCATAATTTTTGTCATTGATTTGACGAAATTTCTGTTACCTCTTTTAACTTAATTGGTGCTCCAGTACTCGTTCTACTGTCTACGAAACTGTAATTAATTAGTTTGAATAATATCCTTATTATCAACAGGAGTTATCTGGAATATCCCTAAAATCAGGAAGCATTGTTTTCCAATTGTCCTAGGTGGATCCTGCATGTCCACCAATCCTGTTAAATCACCGGACCACTCACTTTCCGTCCTCTCAATTTCGTAAATATCACCCCTGCTACACACATCCAAGAGTTCCATTGCTTTCTCTCTCTGTAAGTAGTTACATTTCTTGATCAAGTTGGTTTAGTATTTTCTTGTAGTAGCCTATTTCAGAACTGATTAATCCGTAGCTGTTATCCTGCGTGATATATTATCTTGTGTTTATTCTGTTTGACTTCTTTAAGTATTTTCCTATTTTTCATGTTTTCATTTTCAGGCGATTTATGAAGCTGTTAGGCGTCGTCGGGAATGTATGGAAAATAATTCCTCGGAAGATGACGATGACGACAAAGATGCAGATAGTAATTCTTCCGGTTGGGAGGACTAGCTCTTATCTATCGTAACAAAAAATGTATTAGGCCATGTACCAGTTTTGTTTTTATCATCTGCCAGTAACACGTTTTTTTTAACACAATGCCCATCTTTGTATACTTACATTTCTACTTACGTCTTTCTATAACTTCTGGTTTTGCTTTGTTCATGTTCTCATATTTTTCTTCGATTATTATTTATTAGCTGTATATAAATGTACAATTCCGTTCACATAGGCATATACTTATATGTCTTCATTAACGTATGATGTTTTCTCTGGTTACTTTACTTCAATAATTTGAGGTAAGTTAAAGTTTGGCAGACCATAATTAAATTTTTGTATCTTTCTGATAATCTGGAGGTTCTATTACGACGACTACTTCAATAGATTGTTACGCATTGATTTCGCAAATTGTTAACCTCTTGAAATTTTGTTTTGTTAACGATTATTGGTGGGATAATGTTGAAATCCCTTTCTTTTGTTTTAGCAGTATTACTATGATTGCTCAAATCTCATTGAAAAAATAAATCAGTTATGATTTCATAGGTAACTGCTAGTCATTATTGATCTAACAATGCTTAAGATCAAAAAATACATTAGACTAACTTCTCATTAATAATTTGTGTCCAATGACATATTGATTGTTTTATTATATGTACAATTTCAGGGCTGATTTAATTGTACTCATTTCCTAACAATCATGAGACTAAAATCAAGTTCAGTTTTATGTGTCTGGTTATCCTACAGTCAAAATATTATTATTACCACTTTAAAGAATAGTTTTTCTTTCTGCTGTTCTTTGTCCCTTTGGTAAACAACGATGTTCATTTATTTCTTATGTTCCGGTGATTGCGATCGATGCGATTTTACTTCTCGTTTTAATTGTAGTTGAACGAAATACCGTCGTTTTACCAAAACATTTATATGCATATTTTTTGTTGGTTTCAGTTGCTTTAATGCTGTTCAACTCATACAAGTATGGATGTCATTAATCCCTAAAAATCTTATTTACATTCATTTTTCAGAATTTTACTAATTTTAAGTAAGGTTTACGGTCCGTAATAATAATCTGTTTGCCTCTGAATAATATTTCCCCCTACTGATTTCTTAACTTACATATTGCTAAAGCGATTTTTACGGCTTTTTTTTCGACTTAAATATAGACTGTGGTTATATGGTCTTATCTCCATTTACTCATAGACAATCCGTAACTTTCAGTTTTTTATTAGTTAAATCGTTTCTATAAGGTGTATGTTGATCTCATGTCGTTAACTTGTTTTACGTTGCGATAGACCTGTGCATCTATTTGCTGGCTAGTGTGAATACGAAGATATTCGTTGTTATAATGAATAGAACTGTTTCTGATGGCTATTATTCAATGAAATTTGTATTGCTTCAATAGTTTCTTCAAAATATCCTTTAGACCTTTTGTTTTGCGTATTTATAACATGTCATTTAATGTATCCCAGTACTTTAATACATCTTGGATTTCATTTTGAAATTAGATGTGCTTTATACTGATCTGTTAACAATATAAACGAAATCGTGCATGCACGTAGTCTTTTACTAACGAACTGTATTGTTTAGCTGATAATATCATAAGATTGGGACCAATTAATTGCGAACTATTTTGCGCGTTAATTTGCTCAAAATAATCAATGATATAACAGCTATTCTCCTGTAGCATATTATGTTAGTAAATTATACGCAAAGGAATTGAGTACAACTACTTAAAACGTTTTGAATTTATGACATGCGAAAAAGTATAAGACGACCTTCGTGCTTAGTTTCCCCAGTTTATCGAAACCGTTAAGCCAAAAAAATTCCGTCCACAAAATAGTCGGGTTGCTACACTTCCCAAGCACAATGAAAAACGGCTGAGAGAAGAGTTGCCAACCCCAGCTCCTAAAAAACTACACCACTATAAGAACAGTAGTTTGCAAATTATTCTCTTCACATGGGTTGTACTACTAATATTTAATCTCACATGATATGAGTTTTCTAATTCTTGTGGTGTGAACTTCCAATCTCAACATTAGGCTAGTTCTCTTGATCAATAATTACTGTTGGGATATTGTTCCAATTTGTGTCTGTTAAAACTTACTGTTTACGATAAGCATATGATCTTTTAATGCAGCTCGTGCATTTCATTTGTCTTCTGTTTGTAAACCATAAGGCTTGCACATTGTTGCGAACACTAAAGCCTTAGCAAGTACGTGTGCTTACTGATATGACGCTCAAGAGTTAGATCTAACCATCAAGTCTTCATTCATTGAAAGGTAGTGGTCTACAAGCTAATTTCTTCTAATCTTCTACAACAATGCCGTTTTATATCATAACAAATTGTCTTTCTGATCACTAGTCTTGTCTTCTGTATCAAATCAGTTGGACGCAACAACACATTCATGAACGGTCATGTTGTTAGGTGTAGACTACCTGGTTGGGGACCACTAGATGATAGCAACCGATGGTTAGAGACCTTGAATGACACGGCTCAAAATCGTTTGGAATGGCGCAGGTGCATCCACTCTTTGTGTTCTCCACTAACATGACTCAGTCCACTTGTCAGTGACTTCATGGACTTGTGCCATGTTTTGGTCTGGCCGCCCCTAGCTTTCTTCCAACCTACTCCTATACCATTGAACATCGCACGTCTAGGCAGTCAGTGGTTGGGTATACGTAACACGTGTCCCAGACATCTTAACTGATGAAGTTTCACTACTTCATCAATTAGTTTGCCATCCTTACCTAGTACCCGTTTCCTAACAACTACGTTACTTACTCGATGGTTCCAAGATAAACGAGCAATGTTTCGGAGACACCTATGATCGAATACTAGTAACCTACGGATATCCTCTACTCTTGCCGGCCATGTTTCACAGAATGAGGTAGGATGAAACAAACTGCTGTGCAGTAAACCCATCCTTTCGTTGGTAAACGGATATCTCACCTACGCCATAAATGACGCAAGTTGGCAAAAGCTAGTCGAGCCTTCTGTATCCGTGCTGAGATTTCGTCACACACCAAACCACAAGGGCTCATTAGACTTCCAAGATAAGTGAAGTGGTCGACACGCTTAACTACTTCACTCTCTATCATTAGTTTGGGTGTCTATGCAACCCAATCCTAAAGCAACATTTTGCGTTTCGAGGAGAGAATCGCATGCCGAACATGCTTGCAATGTTGCTTATAGTGGTCAGAAGACTATATTTTGTCAGCGTTTTCATCGAATAGAACTATATCATTGGCATATTCTAGGTCAAAATGTGAAGCGCACGGTAGAAGTTCAACCCCTGGAAATTTAGATGAGGAAAGTCATATCTCTAAAAGCACGTCAAGGACAAAATTAAACAAGAATTGAGAGAGATTGGACAGCTCTGATGAACGCCAATTAAGGTAATTAATTCTGATGACAGTTCGCCATAAGAAAAAAATAACGACCACAGATTAGTGTACTTACTTACTTTCGCCTGTTAATCCCAATGGAGCATAGGCCGCCGACCAGCATTCTCAAACTCACTCTGTCCTGAACCTTCTTTTCTAGCTCCATCCAATTCTTGTTCATTTTTCTCATGTCTATCTCCATTTCCCGACGTAATGTGTTCTTTGGTCTTCCTTCGGCCTTTAGGATTCCATGTGAGGGCTTGTCTTGTGACGCAGTTGGGCGCTTTCCTCAATGTGTGTCCTATCCACTTCCAGCGCTTCTTCCTGATTTCTTCCTCCACTGGGATCTGGTTTGTTCTCTCCCACAGTAGGTTGTTGCTAATAGTGTCCGGCCAATGGATCTGAAGTATTTTGCGTAGACAATTGTTAATAAACACCCGTATCTTCTGGATGATGGCTTTCGTAGTTCTCCAGGTTTCTGCCCCATACAGTAGAACTGTCTTGACATTTGTATTCAAAATCCTGACCTTGGGGTTGGTTGACAGTTGCTTTGAGTTCCAGATGTTCTTCAGTTGTAAATATGCTGCTCTTGCTTTGCCGATCCGCGCCTTCACATCTGCATCAGATCCACCCTGTTCATCAATGATGCTGCCCGAATTATAGGAAAGGTAAATTAGTTAAATAACTTGAAGACCCTTCCAGCACATGTTACCAGTAAAATTTAGTTATTTGTTCCTGAGTTCTAGGCTATAGATATTTCATTTTTCCAATAGATATGTTTGCTGGTTGTACTAGAAATGCTTTAGCAATGCATACCGCATCATGAGAAACCTAAAGAAAGAGAGTGCACTATTATAATGCCGTGTCCTATGTAAATATTTTGATTAATTAACAACCATCAAATAATTTAGTAGTTGTATAGACAAATATTTTTTTTGCGAAGGTGCCCGATCTCTTTGGAAAATGAACTAATTCTCGATATCATATTTCATAAAAAACCATGGGTGTTATTTGTCACTCTATACTTTTGACAAAACAGATTAACTATAATTTTTAAGAGCATGTTAGGTTGATTTTATTGATTGAAAAATCCCCACAGTGTTTAAAAAACAATTAATGTTGAAGCGAACAATCGTTTCGCATAATTTTGTCATCAGGTTCGACTGTTGTGTCCACATCTGTTGTATTACACAGGCTGAAATAAAACCTGCATAAATGAGTTAGTGTAATATATTAGAGTATTGAACGTTTGCATTTGTTAAAACTTAAATGCGTCAAAACTGTAATGTTGAAGCGAACAATCGTTTCGCATAATTTTGTCATCAGGTTCGACTGTTGTGTCCACATCTGTTGTATTACACAGGCTGAAATAAAACCTGCATAAATGAGTTAGTGTAATATATTAGAGTATTGAACGTTTGCATTTGTTAAAACTTAAATGCGTCAAAACTGTAATCTTTAAATTGGTAAGGTTATTTGAATATGGTAAGGAAAATTCGTTATCCATTGTTAGCCACTATCCAACTGTGTTGATAAAATTAGTTATCGAGTTCCAATCAATAAAATCAAACAAATAACGTAAATAAAATACACTAGGCGAAATGTTATGTCCAGTTACTTGAGAGTTATAGTATAATCATGTGCATATAATATATTTTAAGAGAATTTTCGTCAGGACAATTATGGGGAGAAATTAATGCGAATCGAGAAAGTTGAGTCCGTAAATTAAGGGTTGGGGGATGGGAGGGATAAACATGATTATAAAAGGAAGACTGATGGGTTATGGTTTACTATATCGGGTTTAAGAATGTAGTGATCTAGTTCTGAGGCATAGTAAGCACAGAGTTTAGACACTTATTTTGACTACATCTACTGTGGTTGTTTCCAATAGGCTCTGTTATGCAGACGAATCGCAATCTTACTCTTTCAGGCAGATTAAAACGCGATATAGCACCGATGAGACTGCTTTATCTATCAAGTGATAGATTTTTTCACACCTATTGAGAAGCTGTTATTATTTCAATGTATTCGTTTGGTCAGTGTGTGATGTTGATCTTTGGTTTGAGTTATTTATCTGCTTGAAAATATTTCGACAATTACTACTGCATGAGCTGATGAAAAATTAAAGCCTGAACTAATAGTGAAGAGATTTATCGAACTGGAAGATTGGGTATAGATTACATATTTTAAGGCGAAGGTTGCTACTTGCATGATATATGATAAGTCATTTAGAACTTTTTTCATAAGATTATTCAGATGGTATTTGTATGACGTTCATTTATGTTATTCCCTTTCAAGAAAAACAATCGTTTACAAGAATTACACTTACATTATGCTCTAATCTTTGAGAGATCAAATATTTCATAACGACAATATATCAAGTATTTTGAAGTTAGATTTTATTATTACCTATAGCCTCAAAATGTTTACTCGGCAAGGGTTGAACAGATCACCAGAACACTAATATATTACTTGAAATCGTGTCATTACACTGAACGTGTTAGTATCATTAAATAATTATGATTTGGTGAGGAGTGACCTAATCGATAAGAGTGCGAATGATATGAAACCGATTTTTTCCAGTCGTCTGTGACTTAGAATGAGTAATTTTATAACCTTTTCAATTAGGTATATTAGTTGGTTATAGAAATATAATTGTATGATATTGCAAATGCTTATTGTCATAATGAGTTACTAATTAATTTATGTTAAGTACTACCTATTTCATTGTATTCAAACCTGAATTTTAATCTGATTAAACAATTCATAACAAGTGGTGTATTCATTTTGATATTGAGAGTTTAGTAAGCCCGTATTATCTTCACGCTCTTACTTTCGTCGTCCGTTTCATAGTTGCCCAGTGTCAAGTACTAAGTATATAAAGTATCGCGTGGACATATAGATTGATTTTCGCACATCTTGATTTCAAATGATTGCTTTTTTAATTAAATTTAACCAAGCTGGAGAAGAATTTTACAGATACAATTAGACAGATTATCTAATAATTACTAGAATCATGCATAATCTGCAGGGATTCAATTTTTAGAGGCGTGAAATCGCATTTTGGTTTGTCATTCACTACCTTTTCGATTAATCAAAGCGTAGTTCCGAGCGCCCAATGGAGAGACCACTAAATGATGAATAAAAGCTAAACTTCAACGGGGTATCA